AATGCCTTCTAAAGTGTATCTAAGCCAAACAAAAGTTCCTTATTTTGGGTAGAGTAAGGCATAGTTAGAAACTGTACACCTTAAAACTGCCTCGTTGAAACTGTCAAACTGTAAGGGTTAAAGCTGTCAGGTTTTCATTGCTATATGTGTCCTTTCTGAGGAGATTCTCCTCCTCTCTTTCTCCTGTTAACCGTTTTAACTGCATCAGAAAGTGATGGAAAATCCTGAAGTTTACAGTTCTAACCAGAAACAGTAAATGAAGAGAAATCTTTCAATGGGGACACTTTTTTTTTGTGACACCTCACAAAGATGAGAATTAACCTCACTATAGAACGATTTTCTCTTTTTTCCTGTTGTGTATCCTGGACAGGTAAAGGGAAATCTCTGCAACATGGTACAGATAGCGTAAAAAAATCTGACGAGTTTTATCCATTCCTCACTCTATTCAAAATAAAAAAATTAGGTAAAACTACACTTTAAGCTGACCATAATTAGTATATGACAATGCTCGGAGTTTAGGTGATACCTTTTCAGCTAAACTAAGTTATGTATTTATATAGCGCTGACAATTTACACAGCGCACGTTCACATCAGTCCCTGCCCTCATGGAGCTTACAATCTAAGGTCCCTATATCCCATGCATACATACAGGGCCGATTTAGACAGGAGCCAATTTACCTTCCAGCATGTCTGTGGAGTGTGGGAGGAAACCGGAGTACACAGAGGAAACCCACACAAGCACAGTGAGAACATGCAAACTCCTTGCAGATAGTGACCTTGCTGTGTTTTGAACCAGGGACCCCCAGTGCTGCAAGGCAGAGGTGGTAACCACTACGCCACTGTGCTGCCCAGAGGTATCTAAACAGTGACTGCTCCTAATAAGACACAGTTACTGTTTGACTGACAACTTTGCACCCCGTTTCAACTTTGAAATCGGCTTTTGTCAAGCCAGGTTGTGTTGATAGGTCCACCAAAAGCTAAAGTTTCAGCCGATTCAGCAAAAAAGGGTTAACAACGGGTTACCAAGGTTTTTGTAGTTGTCTTTGTTATTGCTCAAGAAATTTACAGAAAATGCATTGTGCTCTCAGGTGCATTTAACATGGGTTTGAGCTACTTTTAAGTTAATTGACAAGTGCATTTGACCTGCAGCTGACCTCCTTGTGAATTGTGCTTGACCTCCTTCTAAGCTGCATCATCCTGCTGGGTTTTTTTAAAATTCCCATTGACTTGCAATGGGGAGAGAAGCAGTTCTGGGGTGAACAAAAGCCCATCGGCACAGGACAAACTCCCTTTCCCAGCCCTCTGACCGGTGTCACTGAAACAGAAAGTGATGCAATATCCAACATTTTAGAATTGCCACCTGAACAGGCGGTGAGGAGAAACCTTCCAGCAGAGATAATTGTCTAAAGGCCTGTGTCCACAGACTTTGGGCTAGTGTGGATGATATTGGTTTGAGACACTTCTGAGATCATTCAGAATTCAGTGACTGGTGGATTTCATCTGCAGTTGACCTCCTTCTGACCTGCTTCAAGCGGGTTTTATGCATCCCTATGTATGGGAGTGCAAAACCCACTTGAAGCAAACAACTGTTGACACTGGATATTTTATTCTCTTCGGAGGAATTGCCTCTGACTTCCTGCCATGTCCCGAGGAAATCAGGACATAGATAACAACACACACTGGACAAATCCCAGGAGCCAGGTAGCTCCTTAAAAATGACTGCTGGTGCCTAACATTTGAGGCTTTCTCTAGTTGTTGTCAACTGCTGTCTCCTGGACTGGACAGACTGGCTCATGAATTCCGTATTCATTTGTCCACCCCTGGCCTGCTCTAAAGCAAGCAAAACTTGAGCTCTATATATATACTTTAAGGTAATAGCAGCCACAGGGTTAAACGATAGTAGGTTGCAGTGACAAATTGCTTCAGGTGCCTTCAATTGGGAAGCATTTTTTTTAAAGTTAATCATAAAAATACCTGATAAAACAGTAATAAAACAGATATTGTTATAAGGGATGATGTTATAAAAAGTATAAATAATATGGTCTGCAAGTATTTGTAGGTTATGTTTTATCTCAACAGTATTGTCCCTAAAGAGGCAGGTAAGTGTTTCAAATGTTAATGCCGACAATACATACTAGAAAGGGCAACCTTGGTACCTTTGTACATTCAATAGTGGGGTGATTTATAACACTTAATGATTATTCTGTCTTTAGGACTGGAAAATAATGCTATTAGCCAGATGAAGACACTATGAATTTGGTCAAAGTGATGATATCTGAGTATCTTCTGAGCACTGAAGATGACTACTATTGTAAATTCTGGTGACCACAACAGTAGGAACAGCAGAAATATTTTTGGGTTTGGGTAAATCAGCTCTGATGAAACATATCTGTGCCAGTGGTTGCCTTGTGCTCTGCCTTGTGTTGGGTACTGATTGCAGAGCTGGCATACCAGAGATAACTGGCTGTGCCCGTGGGTGCTGTAAGGAGGATGGGCACATACCCAGAAAATCTGGAGAATCAGTTTTGCAATGTCAAGTGTAAACATCTACAGTACTAGTTAACAACAAGTATGCACTCTACCAATTCATGAAAAAAAAGATAAGGAAATATACTGAAGCTTTTAATGGTATGGCCTGAAACTGTCATATAGATAGCATAAAAAGATGCTATATAAGTAAAATGAAAGACAGATAGGAAATCGGTGAATCAGAGGAAAGGTGAAAATGGAGTACCAATGGTGAGGAGGATCCCAGTTCTGAAAAGCACCAGGCTGGTGGGAAGGTCGCCATTTGAAACTAAGGAGAAACAGCCTTGATGCTTGGAGCACAAGGTTGGTATCGTTCTGCAGGACCGCATGTAATTAAACAAACTGGAGAGGATACTTTGTTATTTAATCACCTCTACTCATTGGTACTCATTGTGACTTGGGAACAAACCAATACACTGCACAGTAATCACATCACATTTTAGGTAATTTGTTAGTTTTGGTTCTAGAATATTCAAGTTTAGGCCATTTTAGACATGGGGGTTGATTTACTAAAGCCAACTATACTATTCAATTAGCAAAGTGAATTTTCAATCCAATCATGTGCAAACAAAAATGTTTTTTTTTAATTTTCCTTGCACATGATTAGGGTATTCTTTGCCAAGTGAGTTTTCACCATATTCACTAAGCTGAATGAAAATTCCCTTGCAAAGTGAATATGCTCTTTTCCTTTACTAAACCATCCCCAAAGTCTCCTGATAACAACTCCGTGTGTGGAGTATCAGTATCTGATTGTCAGTGATTAGCCGAACCTCCAGGGTATATGGTGAGTTTTTGTTGCAAATATATTGAAAATATGGGCAACCGTAGAGAGCTTCAGACACAGCAACATCTCCATAGTGGCTGCATGCATGCTTGGTTAATAGGGTCAATAAAATAAAGACAATCCAGGATTCACTTGTTATCAATGAAGGTGAATTTAGCAGTCCAATTTTTTAAAAGCTATAATCTCATCAAGTCAGGATGCTATGTCTGTCTCAGTACAATCATCCCTTGTGCCTTTGGATGATTCCTCGCCTCACTCTACCCAATATGTTGGGAGAGTACTGGCAGGAACTACATTAAAACTCCTCCAGGCACCATCCATGCTTACGTGGGCTTCTTCCAAGGAGATATTTCACATTTATCGAGGCCTGCAAGGAGAGGGCTAAAGGGAGAGCTGTCTGAACATCTTTCTTTACACACACCAAATTACAGTATCAGGTGACATCTGCTCAGTGCACCCATTCTTTCCCAAAGAGACCCTGTCAGGATCTATCAATAATTCCCAATGCCAGCTCCCTTTTTGAGCAAAGGTAGTATAGTGTACTCTTTCCAGGCAATGTCTACTACCTTCCCTATGTAATGAAAGTAGGGTAAGAGGCATGGGCCACAGTGGGAAATCCCGCGATCGTACGATAATCGCAAAGTGTATGGAAGGCGTGAGAGCGTTTCTACTGTACAATCGCACATCTTCCGTCGAACAAGTAGTGCCCATTCAGCATTGCAGTCATCGGAAGCCCTCCCCTCAGCGAAGCGGGCTTGCGATGATCGCAAGTACGACCTGCCTGTCCAAGATGGGCAGATCGTACGTTTTTTTAATTACTTTACAACCCTCGCAAGACAAAAGTCTTGCGAACGTTGTACAGTGTATGGCCACCTTTAGAGGTGTATTGATTTAAAGCAATGATCCCTAGCTGTGACAGTCAGCTAAAGACCAGTTCTATCTCTAGTTGTTCCTGTAGGTCGGCGGTAATATGGGGAATATACTATTGTTGCAACATTGAGCTTTATTTTAATGTGATTTAGTTAAAACTAAGCTTTAATGTTCACTACCTTTGAGTCCAGCGGCTCTGTCCGGTGTCCTGCCCAGCTCATTGACATCACTGGTTTCCAGGAGCTGGGCGAGACATTAGCCAGAGTGTCCCGCTCAGCTCCTGGATACCAGTGATGTCAGTGAGCTGGGCAGCAAGCCGGAGATAGCATTACTGGTTGCTAAGATCTCTTAGCAACCTGGGATGTTTTGGCTGCCCCCCTGCGCCCTCCCCCCCACCTCCCCCCCCCACTGAGATGCCGTCTGAGGCAACTGCTTCAGGCTGCCTCATTAAAGTGATGGCCCTGGTTATAACATTTTTCAGGACAAAAACAGTAACTGTCATCCCATTACTATGGATTCTACATGTAGGTTGTAAAAATGCAAGAAAATGACATTTCTTAAGCAGAAATATAATGTATAATGAATTTGGAAAATATAAATGATTTTATGCAGAAGAAATGAAAATGCTGTCAAGGCTTTGCTTGTGTGATTTATACTCACAGACTGCTAATATCTTGAAGCAGCTTTAAGTAGTCCCGCTGACAAATACCAACTGGCTGCATATTTTTATCTTGACTAAAAGTTAAATATGTGCTTATGGAATATTCCACATATTTGTATACACTGACGGTTTTTTTTTTTCTTCTTTCCTCTACAGCGCTGCAAGGATAGGGTGAATGCCTTGGCTATCTCTGTCATGAATATGTGGCCAGGAGTGCGGCTGCGGGTCACAGAAGGCTGGGACGAGGATGGACACCATGCCCATGACTCCCTGCACTATGAAGGACGTGCACTTGACATCACAACTTCAGACCGAGACAAAAACAAATACGGCATGTTGGCTCGTCTAGCAGTTGAAGCTGGCTTTGACTGGGTGTACTATGAATCCAAAGCGCACATCCATGTCTCAGTGAAAGCAGGTACCCTTTCTGGAGGTATATAGCGCTTTCGGCCAGTGAGAGGATAGGCAAGCTTTATAGATGATGTTCTATGTTCTGAACATTAAGTGCCTTTTCAGATTGTCTACTACGTACAAATAATAAGGCAAAGAATAATAGTGATCATTAATCATGGCAACCTATCAGTTTTCACTAAATAAGTCCAATAATGTTAGCACTTCATTGTTGAGGCTGTCAACCAAGGTTTAGTACTTCCAAGCACTACTTAAGCTAAATGTAAGTTCTAATTAAATGGTATTTATTAACAGGTATTTTTTAACAAAATACTTGTTTTCAATCTTTTTTCATCTTTTGTTGCATCTCTGTCTACATGCATTTACTCCAGCCAAGGCCGCATGGCATTTGTCAGGGCCAGTTTTCTGATGGTGACAGCCAGCATATGTTAAAATGGCTACTAGACTTGTGCGCCGTCAAAAACATTTTTTTGTTTCGTTCCGTTTCGTAATATCCATTATTTCGTAATTCCTTTGGGGCAGCGGATCCCGGGAATCAAGGTGAGGTGTCAGGGGGAAAAAAAAAAAAAACTTTCGGAAACTGCCATTCGGATTTCGTATGCTTACAAATCTACGAATTTCAGGAAAATTCGTACGAATTTCGATTCGTAACGAAACGAATCGCACATGTCTAATGGCTACTTCTACTATCAGTAGGAAATCTTAGTGGCAGGCTGACATAACATTATCATAACGGTATTTGCAGAGGAATGCCGAGATCATTTGTATTTCAGTCAAAATTTGGATGGACTATATATATCCGTGCAATGGGCGATATTTACAAAATATTTGAACAGGTCTGTAATCTCTTGTATGAATCAATCGCTGCGATAGTAACTAGTCACGCAATAAGAAAGCTTTTGTGAGCTTTAAAAAAATGCCCTTTTTTGTTCATAGTTATTTTTCAGTATGTTGAAAGGGTTTCTAAACCCTCAGCTTTTTTTGCATATATCTACTGCTAGCGAGCAGTAGATATATCCAAAAAGTTAAAAAAAAAACGCTTTAACAGCAGTTTAAACTCACCTGTGTCTTCCCCGCACGCTCCCCTACGAAAATGTGAAACTGCTCGGGCGGCCGCAAAGCATCTTGGGGCGGGCGCACGCACAGTTCAGATTTTCGGCCGGGACGCGAGGAGAGACACAAGGTAAGCATATGGACGCGTGCACCCGCATGCAGACACCATGGGACAGGAAGTGCCAGCAAGCTCAGAGGAGTCTCCGCTGGATCGGAGACTTGCTGCAGCGCTGGAGAGAAGGCTGAAAACTACAGGAAAGAAGAAGAAGATCGGATTAAGAGATATCATTTAAGGTAAGTGCTTTAATTAACACTGGGTTGAGGGGAAATTTTTTTTGCCTTCAATGACACTTTAAATATTTCTGAAGCAGATAAGGGCCCATTTATACATTCATGGCATTGTGGTTTCTGTGCGCTTTACCGCAATGCGCAGCACAGCATGTTACATGTATTGGTGCAATGTAGTGCTCTTTATTCTGCATTCACTATTTTTTGGCAGCGCACCACAACGCACATTAGCCAGTTACCACGTGTGGTGTGGCAACATATGTTCTAGGCAAGGTGCATTGGTGCGCCATTCAGAATGAATGGTACAGCCTTACACCAACGCTGATAACGTGCATTGCGGTAAATCATGCAGAATTGCATGTGTTGCCACAACGGGAACTAAGGCCGCTGGTGTGAATGAATCCCAAAAATGGTTCCTTTCTTTCTATAAAAACAAATGTATTTGACATATGCTTTGCAGCAATACCAATGAGGATGGGAAATCTTTTACTGCTTGTTGTTGGTGAGAGGTCTGCCTGTCTATTGGTAGCATTTAAAGAACCTGTTAAGACGAAGATATGGGAGCTGCAGGTGTTTTAAAATTGCAAACCCCAGGGCTGTCATACTTATCCTTCCTTCCACACTGACCTGAAACAAGCATGTACACACCAGTCATTGGACATATGCACCTTCAAACATGTCACCCTTTGCAGCTCTTAAACTTCCTATGAAGCCCTCTTAAACTTTCAGTAGAAAGTTCAGTAGAAGTAGAAAAGCCTGTCACCTGCCAGCATACTGCAGAGTGTGACCCTTGCTCTTTGTGAGTAAGCAGTGGTCTCTTTGCAGAAGTCTGACATGCCCCCTGCTGAGTCACAGCCAGAGTTCACCAATCAGTGGGGAGCATGAGCTTTACTGACTGGAGAGTTATAGGTCCCACAGGGGGCATGTCAGATCTCTGTAAAGGGACCATTGCTTCCACACAGTGAGCAAGGCTGCTCCTCTGTAGCATGCTGGCAGGAGACAGGCTTTTCTATTAAGGCTGAGGCTGCTATAGAAGGAAAACAAACTGTAAGACAATGAACACCTTTAGTTTTCACTTGAAATGCATTCAACTGAGGCTTCAATTGGGCTTTAGGTCCATCATACATAGGTAAAGTTCATGGTGAGATTTCCTAGCACTTAGCAATATCTACAGCAACTGCATATGCCTGCTTCGTGTACACTTGGTGTACATTGTTGGTATATGTGTTTTTGAAAATGCCTCTGCAAAGGTGGAAATGGGCTTTAAGTAATCTTCCCATGTATGCAATCGCAGTGTCTGTAGGCTGCAGCATCCTGGTAATGGCATTTCAAGCGAGTAGCTTGTTGAAAATGTTTGTTTCATGTTCTGTTCATTCTACATACCACTGCTGCATAAGTAGTAATGGGGAGGTGCCCTGACCCCCACAGAATAGTGGCTATGTATGCTGGGAAAAGAGAAGCTTGTTTGAGGGTCTGTTTATTGGTGAAAAATCAGGTGCCCCCTTCATGAACTGTTTTATATATCCTAATAACTAGCGACAGTTACAACCTACAGATACAACAATAAAAGCATTCTTCCGATCCAACTTCTAATGAACTATAATTAGACTATTCTTTTTTGTTCCAGTGGTTAGATTCTCTCGTGTACCTGTAATCACTCTGATTCACATTTACTCCCTATTGTTTTCTTTATGAAGCCACCCTCACCATTGTGTTCTCACATCTCACACCTTGATTCTCAGCATTGTGCACTGTTTAACTCCTTACTTGTCAAAAATAACACAATCCCTCTTCTCGTGGGAAAAGGAATATACAAAGATTTTTGGGAAGGGGTTACATAGTGTTCTCAAACGTTCACTGCTTGCTGCTGAACAGTGAATTATAAGTATGAATTATATTTTTAAAATAAAATAATTTATTCGATTTTATTCTGCACAATTAAAGTGGAAGTGAAGTCCCTTTGTAAAAAAAGTGCAGACAGGCTGTCTGTCCTGTTATAGATGATACTCCCTGCCTGTCAGCACTTTTTTGCACAGCTCAGTGTAGTCTTGGCATGATTCCGTGTAGGGAAAAAGTAACTCCCGTGTGCATGCCTGGAACGTACATCACCTGGGCCCAGTCAGTCAAGCGGACAAACCTGGGGGAGGGCCGGGAGAAGATAGAAGTGCCAACAGGAGGGGAATTGTTGCAGTACTTGGGAGATCGCTTTGGTAGGTAAGTCTGCCATAATGTTCTAATATGCTGTGCATAGTATTTAAACATTGTGGCTAAAAGCGCCTGAAGGCCCCACATTTTTTTGGGTCGCGGTTTACTTCCACTTTAATCCTTAATCATTTTAACTATTCTTTAGATTCTCAACAACTTCTTAGTATTTGTTGCTAATATGTTTTCAGTGGCCAATTTATAAGGCACACTTATGTACCAGGTAGTCTTCTTCAGGGAATGGATTCAGAAAACATTCTTTGGGGATTTTGCTACCATGCTGACTCAATAGAATCATTGCCCTGCAGAAATCATGATTTGTTAGACCAGGTAAACGTTTTCCACAGTTTAGCGTTCTCAATTAGGTGATCCCATAACTAATGAAGTGGGACCCAGCATGATTTGGTACTGATGCAGCCCACCTTCTCCAAGATTCGACATGTTACATGTTCAGAGCTGCTGTTTTACACACCACTGTTGTGTATTTATCTCTCAGTTTGCACCATTTGGCATTTCTCCATTGACCATTTGATTCCATTCTCTGCTAAGAAAAATTGTAGTGTGTGAAATTCCCAGGAAGGATCAGATAGTTTATGCGATGCTGCAAAACCATCTCTGAGAGAAACAATCATTCCACAGCCATCATGCCAAAATAATGGATATTCCCCGTTCTGTTTGGTTGAACCACAACTGAACCTCCTGACCACTGACTGATCTGCATGCTGTATGTATTAAATGACAGCTACATGATTCACTGTTTGACCATTTACAATAACAAGTAGATATAACTAATAAAGTGACAACTAAGAAAAAAGAGACTCCACCTACGGACTATCATTCACACTTGCAACTGGACTTCTGCACTGAGTTTGCCACGTTGTTACTGTGTTTGCATTGTGTTTGGGTGTGCTTACTGTGAGTCAGTATAAAGGCTGAGTTTACCTTTTAGACCATAAAACATGGACACATCTAAACTGACCCACAGCAAATATGCTAAAATGCAAAACTATGCATAAGGGAGCAGTGGCAACTCTGAAGCAGTAGAGCTTTGTTTGAAAATTATCTTTTTCAAATGGTTTGTCCGATTTTCTAATAGTTAGTGGGGTCCAATCAACATTTGTTTTTGACTGAAGCGAAAAGGAAAATCAAAAGGAGCAGAATAAAAAATGTTCCTCATTTCTTATCTGAAAAATCGCACATATTGCATATGCTAGGTCCACAGAAACCAGTTAAATATATCTGGATGAAATTTCAAACAACATTAGTTGACTCAATGATGGCAAGATCAAATGCTCTGACAAATGAATTTGAACAAATGTTTGAATTAAGTTCTAACAGTTTATGGCCTGCTTAACATTGGGGAGATCCTTTCAAGTAAAGCACTATGATTACTAGATCTCTGGATTGTAGTGGGGTTAGTGTAAAGATTCAGAAATCTTTGGCTGCCAAATTAGGGTTCAGCAAACATTCACTTTACGTAAACACCAGTACATTTAGCCAAAGCTTTGGCATCATGGGAATTTCCCCTACAACCAGACTTATGCAGGGTGCCTTAAAGATAATTGTACTGGGACCCAAGCTTTACAGATGAAGACCTCTGAAATGGAAGCATGGAGATAAGCATGAAGTTAATCATTACACTAACCTAACTCCTGAACTAGAGATCTTGCAGTTATAAGGTTCTTCTGTGTGGTAAACAAGTGAAGCCAATCAACAATGACATTTCTGACTGCTCCAAACTAAGCAAAGTGAAACGGGACTAGTTAACACACTCTACATTGGTTTTTGTGTTTCTATTAAATAATCTCTAATAATTTTAGAGCAATTTCAGAGTTTTAAAATGGTTTCTCCGATATTTACTCAAAGTACTGGTGATTATGTAGCTTTGAAAACTCTCTACATTTTGTGCCATCACACAGCCCTATTTCTCTTTTTACCTTTTATAGTTATAGTTAATTCTTCTCTTTTTTTTATCTTTTAGATAACTCCTTAGCTGTCCGTTCTGGTGGCTGCTTTCCAGGAACTGCCATGGTCAACCTTGTTAGCGGTCAACGTAAGCTTCTCTCGGAATTGCAGCTTGGTGACAAAATCCTTACCACAGATGAAAGAGGACATTTGACATCAACAGAGGTTTTACTGTTTTTGCACAAAGATCTTGATATGCCAGCCAGCTATATAGTTATTGAGGCTGAAGGACATCCATATAGCCTTTGGCTTTCTCCAAACCATCTGATCTTTGCCACTAGAGACCCAATGGCAGGGTTTTTGCCAGTTTATGCACACCGTGTCCAAGTCGGGGACTTTGTTCAAATATTTGTTAATGGCACTCAACTTCTACCATCTAAAGTTGTAAATTTGTCCATACAAGAAGAGACAGGGGTTTATGCTCCACTGACTTCCCATGGAACCCTTCTTGTAGATGGCATATTGACATCTTGCTATGCAAATATTGAATGGCATGAAATGGCACATAGGTCATTTGCACCCATGAGACTACTTTACAACATGTTCTCCATTCTTCCAGAATTTTTAGGGAATGATGGGATTCACTGGTACTGCCACTTCCTCTATGTTCTGGCCAAAAACGTTCTTGGGTGGAAAATGCCTTGATATGTTATACAAAAGAATGGATTTAACTGCAAATGCTGCTGTAATGGGTTCCGATAGATCTCCAGTTTCCTTTTTTGCCTATCTACTGAATACAGTTAAGCAAATTACAGCTCGCTAAGATACATGGTCCTGAAGGGACTTGATTCCCAAAGTGTGACTATTGTAAAAGCTGGTGGCTACTGTCAATTGTGATCAGATGGACTAGCAATGTGTTAAATTATTCATGCAGTTTAGAAGGTAATTGCTAAAATTGTATTAAAAATTGCTATTTTGTAGGAAAGTCTTATTTTGCAGGAAGATATTCTGATATAGAGAGGATGGAAAGTACATGTTTGGTCATTTGAAGGGGAGCCTTTTGTGGCTTTCAGTTATATCCAGTCATGACAGCCTCTCATATTACTTGCTCACATCACAAACTAATTCCCATACCAAGAACATGGTAGAGATTTTTTGTTAAGCCACGGCAGGATACAAATCCACAAATATGGTGCATAAGTGTGTCAGTTAAAAAATGTATGTTAGATCTTAAAGAGTTACCCTGATGACTGTATAAGGGCTGTAAACTATAGGTGCTACAAGCAATTTCATATTAGCGTCAGATCTAACACAGCAAAGGCATTGGTCATTAACCATCTAGGCATTTAATGCCTTTTTTGCAACAATCTCATGACTGGTTCAACATGTTTTTACCTGTATAGCTTTTTACATCAACAGACATGCACACCGACATCTTGGTAACAACTATCAGCCAGCAAAAGCTTGACTTTGTAGACCAGACTGAATGCTTAATGGATTTGCACTGATCCCTTGTAAACACCGTGATGATTTTGTCTATCTCACTATCACAGTCTGAAGTTCTGAGTACCTGTCTGTACAGTAAAAATGTGTATAGTCTCTGGATATAAATGCACTGAACTACAGGAGGAGGCAAATGTCATTGTGCACTGATTATTTATTTTTACTTTTTCAATAACAATTATGGTCTTTGAACACTTATCCTTTGGAGATCTTTAACAGTGTGTGTACAAACACATGACTATACTTCAGCTATGGTGCTCCAATGCAACAAACTACAGTGTGTTCCTATTATTATACTCCTGTGCTATTATTATTATTTAGGTTAATGGTTAAAACATGGATAGGTGGGGAAAGGTTGAGTTTATCTATCATAATGAGAGAAACAAGGGAATGTCTCAAGTTCTTTTTATCGTGGGTAAAAGGGGTAAAAGGCAGAGTAACTCTGAGTAGGTGGCCTTATAATGATCACCAATGATCTATCTGGCTTGCAACATCATTGCCCCAATGACTCTGGAGTTAATAATTAATCAGCCTAAAAATTAAAAAGCCATATCTAGGCAACACATGCCTATCATCAGGCTGAACAATTATATTGTTGGTTGAGCCAGTCTCTATGATTTACCATTGTGCTGACATAATCTTTAAGATGCCAAGCAATCTGTTTTTAACCCTACTTTTACTGAATGGTAGTTATATAAAATGAATGGGTGGCATTCCCTTTCTACCATTGTGATACATGGTTATATATACAAGTGTACAAGGAGACAACAGATGCTATAATGAGTACATTTACAAGAAAGCTTTGAACTCGTTAAAGTAACACTAAATTCAGGAATTACCATAAATCTTAAAAATGCATTCAAGTAACTATAACTATAAACAAAAATGTATCTTATTTGTGTATCACTCGGCTGTAGATCCTCAAATCATCTCTGAATTGGTGCTGACACTGTCCTTCCTGCTGGAGGGAGGATACTTTTGTTCCCCATGGTTGTAGAGTAGCCACCGCTCCAAGCTTACTCACATGATAGACTACATTCTCAATGCAAGTTAGTAAACTAAAAGTGAGATTCCGTGCTGTGAGTCCATCACCAGAGTGAGCTTGGAGCCGTGGCTACTTTACAACAAACACAGGGACCATGGGGAACAAAAGTATCCACCCTCCAGAAGGAAGGACAGTGTCAGCACCAATTCAGAGATGATTTGAGGATCTACGGCTGAGTGATACACAAATAAGTTACATTTTTCTTAACTGGGTACTTGAATACATTTTGTAAGATTTAATTCCTTAGTTTAGTGTCACTTTAATGTTATTTATTTCACTTTGTACCTGTGGACCAGTTTTCCAAGCTGTTCCTTTGTATGCACTGACAATCTTGTTACCACTGATCATGTTTTATAATGATATACAAAAATACTACATTCTCAGACTTGAGCCATGCCTTATTAATTACCAGAGGGTGAGAGGTGGGGTTTTTGAGAGGAGTGCCACTTTTTCAAAATAAGATATATTTTTGTAGATCAAGTCTTACTGTATCTTTCCCAAAGGAAATTTGCTTTAACACAGCTGCTGCACAATCAGTCTTAGAGTATATTTTTCTACTTATAAATTGTAATTTAATTTGTTTCAGTTTAATGTTCCAGCTTCCTTTAGATGTGAGACAATGAATGTTCAAAACAGAATTTAATATCTTTTTAACAAGTAATCTTATTTAATGTGTTTTCTGATAATAAACCAGGTTATAATTTATCCCATCATATAGTCTTGTTTCTTTAAATGCATTTTGCAAACCATTTGTTCTATGTACAATATAGATGTGTTTGTTGTTTGGTTCTATAGACAGTTGCATTAGGGTATAAATTTATGAAAGTGACTGATGTAGACAAACTCTTATTGCCCAGATTATACTATAGTGCACAGTGGAATGAATGGGAGAATCTGACTGCATCTGATTTTCATATTTAACCTCCTGCTATATAAAGCGTGACTTTTGTTTCAAGTCCCCTGAGCCTGAAGGAAGGCTATGCTGCTAATATGAGAATTGTAATTCAGACGGCTAAATATTAACTTTGTTGCTGTGGAGCAAGAACTTCAGATCCACCCTAGAAGTCCTGTGTCAAGAGAAATACCTCTTCTGCCATACTGTAATCCATCTGAAAATACTAGTAGGCTGTACGTCACGTAGATCCTCTGGCTTCAATCATATTAGTGACCCAAAACAAGTAAGCATATCAGAAGTTATGGCCTTCAACTTATTTTACTGGCCACATACTTATTTTAGGTCACTGGCAGCTAGCATTATCAGAAGGAGGTAACCAGTGGTAGCTTACATATTTCTATCAGCGTAGGTTTATTCTAATGTAATTCAAACCTTCAAGCCAGTTTTATAAGAAGCACTATAACACAGAAAAAGCTTAGCAACGACACTTGTTTGGTCATTTTATAACAGGCGCTGTGAATACTTGTTGCTTATAAAAGTAGTTGCTACTTTTCCATTGTAGGATATGTAGTAAATGTATACTTAACCCGAGTATACACACATATACATTTTTTTTAGTCAACCTGCGTGCTGAACAAAGAAAATATAACAGATTCCCCCATCAACGCCTATGAGCGTAGATGGACGGATACCCCATTGCTTGCATTTCATTCTGACAGCTGATTGGCTGCTAGCTCCGTTCAGCCAAGAGCTTTCCAACCTGCTCCTTCGATCTGCTGATAGAGGGATGCTGGGCGGAAGGATGCTGACAGCGGCACCCAGTGTGCGAATTTTGGCCGGTTCATCTGGAACCTCCCTAGATTCATACCATGTATACCTGACTTAAGGCATTTATTTAACAATTTCTACTGTGCAGTGCTCAGTACTACAGATGCTATGTAGGCAACAACTCTTCAACTGGTCAGAGGATCGTGTTGTAAACGAGGTGAGTATATAGAAGGTTAGGGCATATCTAAATCTAAAAACAAAAATGTAACATATTGCAGCCTACCAGTCCTTAAAGTAGTATTCAATTCTACATTTTGTTTTCAATATTGAATCCAGATCAAACAAATATACATTGCCAAGCAAAGTGATTATTTAAATTTTTGTCCAAACATTTTTAATCATCATGTATCTAAAACAGCTAACTTCAACTCTCTCAGCTCCACTTCCCTGAACTTCCGGTCCAGTACAAGATTGCAAGGGACATAGCAGTCTCCAGCAACTGTCCATCAACTAACTCGGAAAAGTTAAGAAGAAGGAGGGGGAGAGGGGAGCAGAGGAGTGCCTTGCCTTGCTGTGCTTGAGTGTTAGTGGAGACACATAAAGCGCACTAGCATACACAAGGATGGCTCCATAGGACTCTGCAAGGGTAAAGAGCCACCCTAAAACAGGAAATCAGGACCAGTGCTCAGGGGATGGGTTGATTCTGCAGGAAACTCAAATGTTTGCACATTGAGGAGCAGCATCTGTTTTAAGTGATTTAATTAGCATTTTAAATAGCTTATAAAAATGTTGATGTTGATATCAGGCTAACAGCATGGATGAAGGAATTCCCCTCGCTAGTCTATTGTACTCTGACAGCAGGACTTAGCAAAAATGTGACCAATGTATGACTAGCTTTAGATGCGTTGGCTACATTAGTTTAGTTTTTTGTTTTTTTTTAGGCTGGATTCACCCTGTTCTGTGTGAATGCAGCATGCATGGTCATACGTAGGTGGCCATACGTAGGTGTGAATGGTCCCGTATAGTTTACCTTCACAATTCACACCAAACTGGATAGATGTGAACCAGCCACATAGAAAATAATTTGATTTCTGCTTGCAATGTATTTGAAATCCTGCAAATAACACACCTTCTGTCTCTCCGAGTCCGTGGCTATGCTCATTTCTCCGGATGCAAAGGACATTGGAAGCGAGCCCCCAGCACCACAGAAACAAGAGCACTGGCTCGGTCAAAACCTGCATAGTGCACTTTGTCTGGCTCTGTCAAAGCGGTGGCTGAGCTTAGTGTTGTGCGACAGAGAGAGACAGTGCAATACGCAGTACTGTGGCTTCTTCCCTGACAGGGTTACTGTAAAGTCTGACCACTTTCTACTTTCTATGAACACTGTAAAATTATACTTCAGTGAAGCATGAAGATTTTGAAATTAAACTGACGCAATGGAAACTGCTGCAATGCCCTGTCAATTATGCAAAAAAAATATATATACCGTATTTTGTGCTCCATGAGGCGCACCTGACCATAGGACGCAGGGAAGGTAGGGTTCTGTGTAGTTAGTGACAGCTGAGACAGGTGGCGCTGTGATTACAGCGCCACGGTCTCAGTGATCACACAGAGCAGACCAAGAACGGACGTTCTTGGTCTGCTCTACGGGCTATCTGGTGAGCTCCTATGCCGTGGTCACGGGTACCCCAGAGGAGCGGGGGATCCCGAAAACCGCGGTGGGGGGGGGAGGATCGCCGCTGCTCCTTTCATACAAGTGATCTAATCAGATCACTTGTATGAAAACGAGCGGCGGCTCCACGCTATACATTTGGCTCTGCTTGTCAGGAGCAGGGCTAAATGTAAAAAAAAACTACTCGCGGCCAAAACTGCATGTCCCGGGCGATTTCCTCAGCTCTCACACATTCGTTC